CAGTTGCCTCCCGATATCGGTTGTCCCGATATAAATAGTTGCCTCGATATCAACATTTGCCTTTAAATATCGGTTGCCTCGATATAAACAGTTGCCTCAATATATCCGGACATAAACAGTTGCCTCAGAATACCGGTTGTCCCGATATAAACAGTTGCCTTGATATAAAGAGTTGCCTCGATGTAAATAGTTGCCTCGAGAAATATTGGTTCCCTCGATATAAGCAATTGCCTTGAAATATTAGTTGCCTTGATACAAAGAGTTGCCTTGAAATATCAGTTGAAGTAACAATTGCCTTGAAATATTAGTTTAAGTATCAGTTGGCTCGCTATTATAAACAGTTGCCTTGAAATATTAAGTTTCCTTGAAAATATCAGTTGCCTTGACATAAGTAGTTGTCTTGAAATATTTGTTTTGACATAAGTAGTTGTCTTGAAATATTTGTTGCCTTTACATAAACTGTTCTCTTAATGATCGGTTGTCTCAATATAAAAAGTTCCCTTGAATTATCGGTTACTTGGACAAATGTTGAATTGCCTCGGTTGTAAATAAGTCTGCTTAATTCCTACTTGAATAAAGTAAGATAAATACTGCTTAATTCCTACTTGAATGAAGTAAGATAACTAGGAATTTGAAAAATAAGCCGGAGGCTGTAGTGTTGCTTTTGGCAGAGCTCCATATTTTGGTGAAGCTATAGCAGAAAATTGTTACTTTGTTGGCTTTGCTCCTTTGGCTTCTCCTAGGTACCAAGGTTTTTCTGTACAATGCTTTGCCATTGCGTTTTTTGTAACTCCCAGAAGATTGTGATGGAAAATGAATTTGCATGATAAATATTGTTATAATAGTGGGAATGAAGTAGACAATTTCTGAAAGGGAAAGAAATTTGGCAATTAGAGCTAGAAACTGTTTTGAACTTGCCCACTGGTTCTTCTGTGTGTTGATGATGCTAAAAGAATGGGAGCGAAAGAGGAAGAGAGAAAAATGGGGGTAAATTCTCTCAAGGCTAGAATCGAAAAAACTGCAAGTATTGCTCTGCCTTTTTTACTGATATGAGAAAAGAATAAATAGTACATTTGCACAAAAGGAAAAGATATGGAAAGACCAATCAGTCTTAAATGAGATATCGAATATCTACCAACTGCTGTTTGGTTTGAAGTTATCATATAAATCAAACCTTTTGTGGGTAAATGGCTAAAAAGCGGTTCTACCAGAATTATGGTTCGAAAGAAATTAAAGGGTCGAAGAAGAATATAGATGGGTCACGGAATGTTTTAATATGGCCAAGTTTAAAGCTTCTCGTTGGTGTGATTTTTCCAACTTATTTGACTCTTACTCACCTAGCATGATAGGTTTGAATTGAGAGGCTTTTATATTTTTTTATGTAATTATTTTGTTATAATCTTGTTTAGTTGTTTTCTTGCTTTTCATTTTCCCAAATATCTTTGAACAATTTTTTTTTCATTTTCTGACTTCAATGAAAAGTTTGTATCTTGTCAAGATTTCAGTGTATGCTCATTCGTTTCACCAACGGTCGTAAATTCTTTATAGTGTATGAGCTGGACTTTGAGTATTGCAGAGGGCTGATGTCATAAAAAATTGGAAGGTGACCGATACCTATGAGTTTTTTATGTAGGCAGCTTTGGTCAAATGAGTTTTTTTTTTTAAATGGTAGTGTTGCTTGTGGGAGTCTTCCGGAGTCAATCGAGTCCATTGTTGAAGAAGCTGCTGCCAATTGTTCAAATGATTGTTTTTCAGATGCTAGCAAAATGACAAGGCTTGCTCTATGCTCGACATGGTAAACAAGGACCTCCCCCTCTTTTTATTGTTATTTTTTGAAATTCGTTTAATTTTGCACTAATGAGTCTGAATTCTTGTTTTTTAGATTTGATCGAGAAATTATCATGCGTGACAACCTACAGGTTTTACCACGCTTTAGATGCAATTTGTTCTATTGGTGATTTTTGGTAATTACTGTTTGACTTCGTTTCATATCAATTTTATACAATAACTAGAGCTCATTCTGTTAAATAAATAAACGAAAGGGACCACCAATTGGTGTATTGATTGCCTTATCCCATGGGAATGACTCTGATGGCGTGGTTTCTTCCTAGTAACGCCTCATTCTAGATGCTATGAGTATGAGTGAGAATATATCACAATGCACTATTCAAACTACTATAACATGATTATATCTTTTATTTTTTTCAACTGGGATGTAAAGCAAGAAAGTTAACACCCTTTTTAATTATACAGGTTGGGAAAACCTTGCTCTTTGGAGCAACAATTGGCTGCTGATGGGCAAAATGCTTGTGCCAATGTTGCTATTGTTGTTGAACAAACTATTGGCTTTCAATAAGAATGGTATGATTCACATTCAACTCAGCTATTTGAGAAGACGAAATGTGTGTGATAATTTTAGCTTTGTCGTATCTTTTTATTACAATTTATGTTTGCAAGATTACTGTTTGCTTATTTTCGAGACAAAATTATCAAAAAAACCAAAATAACGTTGGCGCATAAGCTTTTTTGTTAAATAAATAGTTGTTCCTCTGTCCTAATAAACCACCCTGCAGCAAGAGCTTTGGAAAGGTAGACCATTCCAAAATTTCTTTCTGTATTTACTGTTTAGGACAAGATCAAACCACATGAAATGTAGACTTCACACTGTTAAGAAGATTCCACGTTGAAAAGATAACAGACCTTCCTAACAAAGATTTATAATGGACATAAACTACTCTTCTCATTGCCAATTAGTTTTGAGATGAAACCCCATGAATATTTACGTGGGGTCCTATCTCAAAACCAATTGTCTATAGGTGTTCTATATCGGGGCATTTTTGTTTTTTTGGAGATTCTCCCTTGCATATTTTCCTTGAGAAAGCTGCAAGCCATTTGGAGTTTATCGAATCTCAATCCCTAAGAGAAGTAGTTAAAGTGGTCCATGGAGGTCCTTGATTGCAAATTCTAAGTTGTTTGATAAGATCCCCCATGTGTTGGTCACTATTCCCTGGGAGTATTATGCCATCTACATAGATTAACATGATTGTTAGAATTGAGTAATCTCTAAAAATAAAGAGAGATGGATCATTAGGAGAGTAACAAAAGCCAATGTGTAAAAGATATTGGGATAGTCGTTCAAAATAAGATCTAGGGCTTGAAGATCGATTTAGTTTGCACGCATAGTATGGTAGCTTTGGATTTTCAAATCCAGGAGGTTAAGCCATAAATACTTCCTCTTTCAGATGACCTATGAAAAAAAGACATTCTTAACATCCAGCTGCCTCAATTTCCACTCAAGTGTCACGGCTAGAGCTATAACAACTCGGATGGTTGTTGGCTTTACGACAAGGCTGAATGTCTCTCCATAGATACTTCCTCTTGTGTGTATCCTTGGGCCACTAAGCGAGCCTTGTTAACGTTCTATAAATCCATTCTCTTTTAGTTTTATCTTAAATATCCATTTTGATCCAATGATATTTGTGTGAGGAGGCTTTGGTACAGATCCCATGTGTGGTTTGATTCAAGAGCTTGCATCTCTTCTTTCATTGCTGTTTTCTGTTGGGGCATTTTCAGGGCCACTTTGAATGATTTTGGTTCTTTCTCCTGTTGTGATGCCATGTAGGACTTATTTCTTCTAATATTTATCAATTGTTGTCCTTCCTGAGTCATATTGAGGTTCAGTTGAGGATTGGCAGCCAGCTTGCTTTGGGTTATCATTTGATGAGAGGAAGCAGAAGGCTTGATAATCTGTTGCGTTCACCTGCAGTAGAAAGATCAAGATAAACATATAAATTTGTACTAACGTCAGGTAGAGAAGAACCTTCCTGTGGGGTGATTTGTTTGAGATTTGCAACACTGTGTGTGTTGTCTTCTTGATTTGATTCTTCATCATTGCCAAGTACTTGACTCGACCCTTTCTTGAATTGAAGAGTCAATTGTTTGAAGCTGTACATATAACCTTTCTGTTAAGGCTAAAAATTTAACTTCTATCAAGTCTGCCATTTCCTACATGAGAAATTTTTAGACCTTGTCCATTTCCTACATATAACCTTTCTTTACCTTCATAGATGCTTTTGTTATTTAACTTACCAAGATCATTTAGAATATGAGATGTAGCTCTGGAATCAGCATAGAGTGTGTCATCTACAGGTTCCTCAATGCACAAAGCAGCAAGAGCCTTTGGAATTTCCTCTGGTTGAAATGCGTGATTGAATCTTTTTCTGCGGCTGTGTGATTGAATTTACCACATATCTGGCATATTATTTTCTGCATTCTCAAGTTTTTGTTGGTAGTCTGGAAGTTGGCATTATGATGTGATGTTGGCTGCCTGCCTTGATTAAATCCCCTTCCTCTGGAGGAAAAAATACTTCCACGCCCTCAGGATCTCCCTCTTTGGCTAAAGAAGGCCTGGTTGGTGATTGAGTTGGCTGTCTTTTTCTTCTTCTTCGAGGATCAGTTGCTGTTCATACGACTTCAAAGCTAAAAAAAACCGATTATACTAATGACAAGGAGCTTTAGACAACATAGCAGTTTTGAACGGTTTATATTTGATGCATATACCTCTCGCCAAATGCATTACCTTGGTTAGATCATCCGCTGAAAGTTTATCACGTAAGCCTTTGAACTTCTTTAAATAATCATCTAGGCTTAGAGTGACCTTTCTTAGACTGACGAATGCCTCATTGAGATGGAGCTCATTTTCCTTTGTAAGAGTGAGAAGTTGTTCTTCGAATCCACACTTGATGTGCATTCTCAGTTCCTCCTTCAATCATTGCCAGCACCTCTTCTGAAATAGTCCCTAAAAGCCGCGATGTTAGTGATCCATCATTGTTCATCCAAGTAATGTATTTTGGATTTGGTTCTTCTTTGTCTTCTGTGGTACTGATTTCTGCTTGTGGTAGAGTATATTCTGTCATATGTTGCTCAATACCCATGTTTCAGACAAGAGGCACTACTTGTGATTTCCATATGAAATAATTTGACAGGTTCAACTTGATGGAGACCAAACTGATGCATTGATGAAACATTTGGATTGTGAGACTTCCCTTCTGCTTTGGCCATGAATTTTGTGTCTCCTTTTAACAAATAGCTGGTTGATCCCTTCGTGTAGATAAGCTCTGATAACATTAGAAAAAATGATAAGTCTAAGGAATATACCAGTAAGTTGTTCAAATGCAATAACACACACTATGTGTTATTGCCTTTGAACAACTTACTGGTATATTCCTTATTCTCATCATTTTTTCCACATTAAGGTTCGTTACATTTTTATTCAGCATCTCTCAATTTCTGTTTCATTTTATTTCTCAAACTTCAAGGTTTTTCTCTTTCTTTTATACATACTCTATTTTTGTGGTTCAAAAATATTTTTCTTTTGATATTATAGCTGTCAAAATCATTGTTGTTGTTATATAACAGTTGCTTTGAAATATTATTTGCCTTGAATTTAGTTACTTGAAATATTAGATCCATTTAATAATTGATAGTTTCCTTCAAATATTGGTGGCAAACTATAAATATTATATTGAGGCAACCAATATTTCTTGTCTTGTGATATTATGGTTGCATATAAATATTAGTTGTACCAATATTTCTTGTCTTGTGATATTATGGTTGCATATAAATATTAGTTGTCTTTATATAGAAGTTAATTTGAAATATTGATGCCTCAACATAAAGATTGTTTCAAAATATTTGATGTCTTGTTTTCGAAGTATTGGTTATCTCGATATAATTGTTGATCTAAAATAGCCTTTGATACAAAGAGTGCAAATCCAATTTGGTTCCTTTGGTGGTTTCCTGAGAATTGAACCAATGAGTTCAATTAACGGAAACATGGAATTGGAAATGGGAAAGAAAATGGAAGCCCTAAATTTAGGGTATGTTCCCTGTATATATATGAACCCAAATCTATTGGCTTGGACTAATTTTTACCTTGAAATGTATTTTGTCCCAATACAATAATTGCTACAAAATATTTGCTACCTTGATATATGACATTTATCCTAGAAATCTTGTTGCCTCAATATAACGGTTGCTCTGAAATTATAGTTACCTTGATATTGGTTTGCTCGATATTACCATTGCCCCTAAATAACTGTTGTCTTGACATTATTGTTGCCTTGATATTATAGTTACGTAGCTTACTCTAACAGTGGCCCCAAAACATTGGTTGTCTTATTATTACAGCTGCCTTGAAACATTAGTTGTCTCAATATAACGGTTGTCTAGGAATATTTGTTGATATAATGGTGGTCTCGAAATATTTGTTGCCTTTGATATGATGGTTGTCCCAAAATATTGGTTGCCTCAATATTATGATTAAGTCTCGATATAATGGTTGCTTTGGAAGGTTGTTGTTTTTGATATAATGGTTACCTCAAAAAATTTGTTCTGTCTTCAAATATTTATACCAATTACCTTGAAATTATAATGGTTGCCTAGATCTAATAATAATTTTCTGGTTGCCCCAACTAATGTCTTCAAATATTTGTTGCCTTTGACACAGCGATTTTCTCGAGATATTAGTTTCGTCGATATTTCGGTTGCCTAGATATAACGGTTATTTTCAAATAGATTAGTTACCTCAATATAACAACTCTTTTCAAATTACAAGCAAGGATTGTTCGTGGAATCAATATGCATTACGCCCACAAAGGCCAATTCTGTTTCTGTTCTCAAACATTTACAACAATGGCGCATCATCTGTAATTAGCAATAGGCAGCCATTTCTGGTGTATCCTTCATCTCATATTGCACCTTAAACTTACATTAGTTCAGCGACTACCCTACACAAATTACATGTCCGAGTAAATTTGCAGATCAGATGCGCTCGGAAGACGAAAGAAAGAAGCCGTAGTTTCAGACAAATATGACCTCCATCTTTGCACAAGGGTGCGTTTCTATGTGAGTTGTGAAATCTTCATTACCTTTGAATCTGAAGGTATATAAAGCCTGCCTCTGAGTCAACCCAACAGGGTATATTCTGTATATTTTCAGCTCATCTCCTCCTCTTATGCTTTCGGGCCGTTCCTGCTTCCAAATCGGTACGTGTTTTAGCGAACTGAACTTTGCGAGTACTGCTGATTCTAAAGCCTCCAATGTCAAATTATTTGACCTGCCATCGTCGTTAAAGCTAAATGATTTGGGTTTCCCTTGGAAAAGATGAAACGTGCTTGGGAGTTTGAAGGTTAGTTACCTCAAGAAAATGGATTGCATTTCAAACCTCCCTCTCTCCCTTATGTATAAATGATATACGGTTTCGGAGCCTCGGGAGCATTTGCACAGTCGTTTCTTGAACCCGGGAAGACTGTTCTCTTCTTTCTCGTGGATGATGGTTGCCAAGTGGATGCAAAGGCGGCATGACGAGTGTACTGCTGCCATGTCTACAAGTGCCTTGAAAGAATCAGAAGGCCCATCATACTTCCATCTGAAAGATGAGACAAAGCCAGCCAAATCTTCATCAAGAGATGGAGGGAGAAGAAAAAAATGAGTTCATATCATATTCAGATGGCGTCTTGCTCCAAGTACCTTAGTGATTGATTGTATGCTTTGGGATTTTTGGCAAGGTATTTCATGGACTTGGCAATCGACTCGACATCGGAAATTTCCTTGATATGCAAAAATGAATCGGGAGAAGGAGCGAACTCCTGAATATTTGGAGCGCCAACCACCACGGGAATAGTTCCTACAAATAATTCAAAGACTACTCAACAAAAACTCTACAAAACAATCAGTGCAGAAACTCCAAGTACAGGGGAATTTTTGTGAAGTAGTCAAATATAAAACTCGGAGACGGGCAAGCCTGATTAACAACATGTCTTACTGACGTCGGTAACAGCATCAATCAGAGAAATAGGTGAGAATCTCATACCTGCAACAAGAGATTGGAAAAACTTTTCAGTGACATAATCCTCCTCATTGGAGTTCTCAAAAGCCAAGCTGAACTTGTAGCGCTTCAAAGTTTCCACTTTGTCAACTGCAAACATAAATCAAAGAACAGTTTAGTTTGGAAAGATTGTGTACATTAAAACCCAAAGTTTCCACTTTGCCCTGATCAGAAGAATAAAATATTATAACTAAATTTGAAGCATAGAATTAAAAACAAAAGAATATCTTTGGAAAATGAGAAGTTCTGCTCACTAAAACCCAAACAGAATTCAAAAAAAGTCATGCTAAACCACACCATCATCAAACTTAACTTCAAAAATCCATTTAAAGGTCCTTTGGAAGAACTGTGTTAATTCCCATTTGCTACCAACTCAACCAAGCTAATAAAGAACTAATTTTTAACAAAAATATTCAATCAACACACATTGTTGAATGTCGATAAAAGTAAAACCAGTAAACAAAGTCGGTCAGTAAACTCAGTAAAGTTAAAAACTAAAACTTGTAAAAGCTTCAGTGCACCTCTTCCATCACGGTTGTTGTGGCAACTACCATATGAATCAATTTTGACATTCAACTTTTCGAGGGCATCAAGAGCTTGCAAACGGAAGTTTCGGGCACCACAGTTCGATATGAAGGCAGCTGCAAGGGCACCCTCAGTCTTTGGCTGCACTGGTGCCATTATCTCGTATTCGGCCCAGGAAAAGTATCCAACAGGAACATCTGATGATAGACTTGTGGTCATAACCACTGTGTAACCCCTCCTACAGAAGTTAAAGTTAATTTGTTAAAGAATAATAAAAGAAGTCTACATCTAAAAGCAACCTATAGAAAGCAGAGTGAGCAGAATGTTTACAGGGGAAAACATTCAGAAATAAGTAGTCCATAGTAGTCCCAACTTTTTAGGTACTCAATCTTAGACAATCTAAAAGGTGATGATGTTCAATCCGATTCTAGAGTCTAAGGAAAATGACCACAACTTTGAAGTAAAAATATGATCAATAACCTATTTAATGAAGATTGGTAACGAACCAGTTAATTTACTTGAACCATATAATCCGTAGACTTATCACCAACTTTTTGTGGAACAGCAAGGAGATGTGGGGAATGTGATGTCGGTTAGTTAGTAAGCTAGCTTGAGAAAGTTAGATAGTGAGCTAAGATCGAATTGTAAATAAAGGGAAGGAAAACATGAGAGGGGGGGTAGCTTGGAAATCGAAGTAGAATTAGGAGAGTGTGGCTCTTGAATTCCCGAAAACCTTGTCAAGAAGAGAAGTTTACTCCCTGCTTGCTGCATTTTGTAATCAATCATTAAGAGAAATACAACAAATTGTTGCTTAGTGGTGTTGTTATATAACATGAACCAAGACCAGCAATCAGATGTTGCAAACTATCATAACCAGAAATTTAAAGTTAATTTTATCATTAGGGTGCAGTTTCAGAAATACAGAATAGTATTTGCAAGAATCACTGCAGACAGGAATAATGGAAAGTAGTCCTCTAAACTGGAATAAGCTTATATCATATCAGTTAGGCTTACCCACCGTCTCGCCAAAGCAATATCATTCTCTGGATAGTAATGCGATGATTCCATTGATCGAAGTACGCTAGCAATTCTACCTTGTTGAGGTGATCCCAATACAGCATCGGCTTGCTGACTAGGATTAAATCCAAACTGGCATCCCACATCACAAGTCCTCCACTCCTATGAAGAATTTCAAAAGGGTAAAGATCTTAAAGAGTAAACCGTAGGAGCTTGAAAGTGAGGAAGAATTAGAACCCAGTTTTCTACCAACATATATAGCAGCTAGTTTGTACAAGCCAAGGGATTGACACAACTTATAACCATTCCCCCTACAACCCATCTGTATGATCTGTCCACACCTCGCCCGAAGAAAGAAATGAAAAATGAGGAGGAATTCTCGATAATCCATGGCGATCAATGCCGAAAAGAAATAAGAAATGAGAAGGAATTCTTATTTAAGTTGATTGGTTGTAGTAAATTTAATAGTCCAACACTTTCTTCAATACTTAAACACTCTCCCTCACTCGTAGGCTTGAAAATTTGTACATGGTTCAACAAGTAGTTATCGATATTAAATAGGGAGGAAATTAATCTCCAGGATTCGAACATAGGACCTCCTACTCTAATACGTAATATCATATTAAATTACTTGGACCAAAAATGTAAGTCCACGGATAGGGTAAAATTAACACTTAAACACTTTCTTCAATACTTTAACACACGGCAATCAATGCCCAAAAATCTCAATTATGCGACTGCAAGAGGTCACTAGAATTGTAACCCATGACACTAGGAGCAACAGAGAAGGGAGTGCTGATAAAATCAAAATACATACAAATCCCATTCACTAATTTCAGATACAGATCTCACAAATTCATAAATTGGTAAACAATTAGAAAGGAAGATAAGTAAAAAGTTGCCTGTGTAAGGATTATTTAAGCAATTCTTGTAAGAGTTTATACTTGATAGGACTTCCTACATACTTCTTCAAGCCAAAAGACTACTAAAATCAAAACTCCAAGCTACAAAAATTTGCAAAAGGAGAGTAGAAAGAACCTTCTCAGAACCAGAAACCAAAACAGGAACCTTACTGAAGTCCCTAGAATACTCCACAGCATCCTCCTTCTCCAGCCACTCCTCACAGCTCTCTGTAGCAATAATTCCATCATTAATGGCGGAGATTCCACTGCCCATTTTACTAAAACCTTCACTCCCTTCTTGCAAATGCGAAGATCCATAGAACAAGTCGACCCACGAATCCACCATAGCCGCATTCTTCGCCATATCCAGCCGATTCAAAGATGCTATCTCTGCCAAAACCACCATCGCCACAACCAGAGGCATAAAACGGGTCCATTTCCTCTTGCTCCCCACTGAAACCCCATTAGAAACAATCGAATCCTCGTGGGTCGTTCCTGTTCGCAAGATTTTTTGCTTTGCAAAAATACCCATGTGGGAAATCGAGCAGTCCAGCAAAATTGGGGAAAACGGCGAGAAGGGAAGATGAAGGGGACTGATTCAACATTTCAAAAGCTCTGTTGCGGCCATTGGAAGGAGATGATGGGAAAAGTCAAGTGGGATTTGGCTGGTTTTTCAATGGTTTCGTCTTCTTCAATCAAGATGATTGGAATTGGATTGTGAAGTTGGGTCAAGCAGAAGCATGGATTTTGGTCGTTTAAAGTCTACGCTTACGGCTCGTATGCTGTTGGAGTTATAACTATAAAGCTCAGCACCAAGCCTACCTAATCCCTTTGCTTTCGGGATAAAGTTTCAGAATGTCTCTTTAGACAATACTGTAGTCTGTACCGTGAGCAAAAGACCACTTTTTCACTGAAAATTCGTATTTGTTCTTCAATAGATAGTTTTCATGTATTTCTCAGAATTATAATTCATGCAAAACAATAATGTTTTTTTAGTAAAACATGTGGGTTAAAAGAATTCGTACTCACAATCTAGGTGCAATCTTCTCATCGGATGTAGGCGCCTTAATCTGTTAAGTACGCGTATACATGCAGAAGAATAATATTGTTGCAGTATTAAATATTAGAACCTATCCTAAAATTTAGTGTTGGCATCCCGGGAAAAAAGAAAAAACATTTTTATTTTCAAGCAAGTAACGAAAGTTATGTATTTTCTTTAATTTGTAACGATTAAGTCTTTATCATAAAAAAATTATTAAGGTGGAGTATTGAATTTTATTACGTAGCAAAATATATATATTTTTAGTACTATTATGTCGCAACATATATTATGTAGTTTATGAACGTATTTGGTCTCTTTATATTAGGAAGAATTTTCACTGCACTTTAATAATATTTCATAGGTTATGAACTAAATTGTTACAATTTGAAAATACATAGACTAAATTGTTTTATAATAAAGTTTACAAACTAAATTATTATTTCAATTAAAAGTGTTGTACGGGAAATAAAAATATTTTTTAACCAAAACACATCTCATGTCTTATAATTTTATCCTTACTAGCAAAAAATATATTACTCCTTATCGCATAAATAGAAAACATGTAATATATTTAATAAGGTACAAGACTGTTTATGAGATTTAATAACACCATAAAGATCAAATTCAAAGTTTTAAAATCACATGTGTTTGGGAGTGATTTAAGAATGATTAAAATTATTTCTTTTTCCATTGATAAATTGAATTTAGGAAAACTTAAAATCACTTAAGATATCACTTGGATGATGATTTTGAAAAATCAATTATACTTAAACTTCTTTTTTCAAAATCATTAATTCTACCCTCACTTTCAAACACACCCTAAATTTAAAGCAAACCCAAACAATAAAAATTAAATTAAAACTTTTAAAACTATAAAAACCAAATTTATAATTTAACTTAAAATTTATTATTAACATTTTGGCTACAAAATAAACTTTTAAATATCCTTTTAAAATAAGTATGTGTCTAAAACTTTGTTCGTATAGCGTAACTGTTAAATCATTAAAATTTAGATTTATTTTTTTTCTTCTTAATACAACAACATCGTGTAAAAATGAGGATTCGAATCTATGATCTTTTAATTGGAAAGTAATTGAATTAAGTTTAGGTGGGAAAAGGCTTGAACACTTAAAAAGCAACTTCGTTGATAGACCCAGACCCAAATTTGTAAAATTATATTCTTAATATATATATTCTATTTTTGAACATTTGTCAACTTCTTGGTAATTTCATTTTTTTTCTAATTTAAGAAACGCCTAATTTTCAATTCATGGGTAATTTATAAAAAAACAAGGTCAAAGTTTAATAAAGCACCATTTAAAGTTTATTTTCTATTTTCTACCCTATTCCATGCATACATTGGATTTTTAGTTGAAAATTCTTTTTATATATAAATATTTTCTAATTGTTCAGATCTTTTTACTCCAACAAATGCAAGGTGAACATAATAGCTTTGTTTTTTTTGTTTTTTTTTTTTTAACAGAGTAGCTTTGCTAAGTTTAGATATACCACTCCTATTAAAGTATTCAACAAAGTTTTCTATCCAATCTCAAATTTCTCATCAAGAATTTCATAACAAGTCTTACTTCAAGGAATGAAACATGTTATAACAAGTATTCAACAAGCTCATCAAGAATTTCATAACATGTTATAGGAATATAATGAAACTTTACCCCCTAAAGAAAATTAAAAAGTTTGTTCAATTCTTTTTCAGTATCACAAAATAATAGCACTTTGTTTTATGAAATAATTTACACTTGAGGTTTCTAACAGAGCTTCAGAATGAGAGAGTATTTAAAACAAATTGAAAAAGTGTGTATCTATCTCAGTATCAGGGTGCCTAGATTCTCTATAACATGTATAATCAGATCCTACATCTATTAGAATTCCCACTTTTGAGCCTCTAAGAAAAAGAACATGAGAAAAGAAGAAAAGGTTGGCATATATTTCACTCAATAGATACTTGAACTGGGAAAAAAGTTTAGTTTGTACCATACACAAACATATTTTCTCCTTCCTGCCGCGGATCTTCTGGTCAAGAATTGTTGCTGTCAAATCCTTTCCACAAGCCACTCTCTAAACTTGGAAAGCACCAGTTCCTGACGTGCTTGACCTCCAATGATTACTTATTCAGTTTCTTTACAATGCTCTTTGAACGTAAAACAAAACCGTGTCGTGTCGCATTTGGTTGCTAGCATGAAAAGCCAATGTTTTCACGTGTTGGAACGGATGTTGTCAACTCCTTCTTATATAGTACCACAAGTCTGAAGTTGGAGGCACAGAGTTCTGAGGGTGTTGTGAAGACAGACATTTGGCTCTTATCTTTCCGATGATAATCTCTTATATGGTACAACCTAAGATATCAAATGGCAGTAAATTCAGTCTCGGATAATTCGTAAGATGCAATGGTTAGTTTTCCAAAGAGTAGTTTTACTTGGTTGTTGCTCGAAGAATCAGTAGTAGCTCTCTTTAACCTTTTTGCATTAGATATGCCACCAGACAACTCTCCTGGATGATTATCCACAAAGTTTTGATCTGAAACTTCTACATAATAGAAAATGAAAAGATAAGAAACCAAATTAGTCTGACAACAGGCAAGCTAACTAATTTCAGACTTCTTATAACTCCAAACCTTCAAGGCAAAAAAAAAAATAGTAGAAGTACAAAATTCATAATGTTTGTAGCATCCACAATTTCCAAATTATGAATCTTATTAAATTGATATTTTTAAATGCCAAGCTAACTAATGTCAGACTTCAGAACATGGTACACCTTAGATGAGACAGGAAGAATTCACCATTTAGCATCTCAACCTAGGTATTGAATCCTTTAACTTAGCAAACATGATTGTCATTCAGCTTTGTAAAAGGTAAGCTTTGAGTCTCCTTGTGCTCAAAAGATCCAAATTATCTCATTTATTAGACCTGTGGTAAAACTACTCATCAGCATGATTTCTACTCTACAGGAACGTTTATATATATATATTCAAAGTGGAAAAAAAGATCAGATTGAGACTCATTCCATGACTGCTCTTTTTTCTTCAACTCCAATATTGAAGTAGCTCTGTGGGAATCCTTTTCGTTCATACAATAAGGCTTATTCTTTATGCCTTGTGGTGGTTGCTCCAATTTGTCAAAAATGAATGGTCCTAAGAATTTCTTCCTAAACAGCCACCGTCCAATAATTATTAGCCTGCCTTCATATAGCAAGTTCATCAACACCAGAATACACTCCATCCTAGTCATGTATACTCAGTTTTACTCATTCCTCCCACTAATACATAGCACAGCAATGCTCCTCTTGCTCACCTAACTTTAAACAAGGGGCTTCTACTTTTTTCACCTATAGATAAACGTCATACAAAACCATCATAGATTGACCTAGTGGTCCAAAGGGGCCAAGGTAAATTCTAAAGAATTTGGAAAAATGTGTTCAAACCATGGTGACCACCTACATAGGATATATCCTAGAGTCTCCTTAGCAACCAAATATAATAGGATCAGGCGGTTGTCCCATGAGATTAATCAAGGTGTGAGCAAGCTAGCCTAAACACCCACAGATTTAAAAGAACAAAAAAAGAACATTAAACAACTTCAAAGCAATCAGTTGGTCCCGAATTCTTAATTGTGAAATACAATTAACATGAAGTGTTGTGACCATAAATCCTCAGTGTCGTCCCTGGCTTAAACACTAAAAGTCATGGTATGGGAACATGGTTATCCCCACATCTAAAACCATGTTAAAACTATCCAATTATTAACTATAATTCTAGAATATAATATAGAGATTTTCCATGGCTAAGAATATAACACAAAACTTTAAGCTTAACATACCAATTTTACAAGTCATGTGCTTTAAGTCTTATCTTTAATAAACCCCTCTCATATTCTTTTCGAGTACATTTGATGAACACAAAATTCAACAAACATATGATAAGAATCATAAGATTAGAAAGAAGATATGCAGGACAACTTCAATGGTACAGGACCAGAAAGTAATGGTCATATCAATACACCAATCATAGAATTAAATAAGAAATATGAGTGCATCTAATGGTTGCTAAAGGTAGATACTGTGTACTAAAACAATTATTTCAAACACCTTCGCCATTACAAAACATGATTTCCAGGTAACAATAAGAAACCATTGTTAATTCAAGAGCATATGATTCAATCAAAGATACCTGTAAGAATTGCAACAGAATCACCACTGCGTGTAGAGATCTGCTGTGAACTTCTTGCAAATCCACAGGGATTTGCCATGTACCTTAAGTGTCTCCTATCACTATAACTTCCACATTCTTCAAGGAGATCAGGTGCTTCCAGATTACATTGTTTTCCTGCAGAAGGAAAATGATTTATCCAAAGATCCTCTAAAATAGCAGCAGGGGAATTGGCAGTCCTATCCAATGAAGGATCATCCCTCCCAATGTTAGCCTTCTGCCAGGAGGCATCTTGAAGGACCATCAACTAAAAAAATATTGCAAGAATAAATCATTAAGCAGGTAGAGGAACGAGATAGGGAACTCACTCCCACTCTTGCTGTGGCTGTATTGCCTCACCTCTGAAGAAGATATATTAGGCGTGATCTGCTTCCTACGTGTTTTCTGTTTCGAGGTCGAAGCACGCAAGTGCCTATATTGATGCAACTCTTGGACAAAAGATGCTTCTAAAGAATCAAGATATGATCTGTGCTTCTCATCTGTCCAAACTGTTTGCACCTGTTCACAAATTTACAATTGAGAAACCAAAATTCATTGACAAGTAGTTACTCAACTATACATTTGAAGACATGACTTTGACAATTAAATAAAGAAGCCATTCCTCCTTTTATCACTCGAAAATTTCATTCTGTTATCAAATATAAGTTCAAGTTCTTCGGCAAAAACATTTGCTGCTACAAATAATATGAACCCTTTATAAACAGGACTCCAGAACTCGGGAAGTTCAAAAACAAAAAAGGTGAATCTCGAGAATTGATTTAAAATCCATCCGTGTTTTGATTTAAACATGCCTCTAACACTAAAAACTGATACAAATGGCAAACACAAGCAATTTAGAGTAGTAATTAAGTCAAACATTGTAAAAGAATTTCTCCTCCACGGCCATTATTGAAGTACAAAAGAAAAAGAGGCGGAAAAGAAAAACAAAAAAAAAAATGGTAAACACAAGGCGTTGAAACTGCAATTATATGCTTGCAAGTACATCCCACCCCATGTTTTGCAGGTTTAGATAAAA